TGTTAATCTTTTATTATACTCAGTGGCTTCAAGGCCTGTTAAGCAACCTCTCCTTCCTGAGGGGCTGCCCACTCCAAGACAGCTGGCTCTGAGGCTAGGCTGAGCCGCGGCCAGCGGGGACTCATGGGGACAAGTGTACTTATTGTCAGGTTTTCTAGAAGGGCAGCTCACGCCACTCTCTGAGGACATGAGCGCCCTGTTCCCAACAGCGTGCAAGCTGGTCCAGGGAATCACGTTGTCAGTGCGGCTGGCCCCTGAAGCCAAGTCCCGGCCTCCACCTGGGGGCTGTGGGAGTTCCTCCTTTGGGAGGGCTCGCAAGAACGCAGCCTTCCTTAACCCAGGCCCAGTATGGCCTGGAGTGGGGATGGGGCAGGGGCAGCTGCTGCCAGACTGCACGCGAGGGGCTTGAAGAGAGCGTTCTCTGAGCGCGCCTGGACTCTGGGCTCCAGCACTGCCCTGCACACCTCATCCTGCGCAGATTCAGAGAGGCTGGGCGCGCGGAGAGGGCTGCCTTAGCTTCACGCAGGCAAGGCACCCAAGTGCAGGCCAGGGCCCAGTGGACTTGGTCCCAAATGGCTTTAGGTAGCACACCCTTAATCCTATTGCTGAGTCACTGACGTCGGCCGAACTCCACCCCTCCTCCGCGCTTCAAAACCAGACAGAAATGGAGTGCCTGGAGATGCGTTCGAGATCACTGGACCCTTTCTGGAGCAGGGGTGCACTAAAAAAAGCACACGATCAAGAGGGGCACGGGCTATCTTGTGGAGCTTCTGAGCCGGCCGCGTGCACAATGACCCTCGCCCTGCAGGAGTGGGGCGCCGTTGGCCTCCAGAGCGAAGCTAGATCGGTTTCCATGGAGACCGCCAGCCGCGCCGCTGGGACCCATTCCCCTCTCAGCAACTCCTATTCCCCTTGCAGAATAGCACAGTCTGGGCCGGGGGCAGTGGAGCCTGTGGCCTTGTCCAGACCAGGGACCAGACCCTCCAAGGCCCACCTGAGACTTGCAGCGCCAGGGAGAAAATAAAGCGGGTTTGCGCTCCGGTCAGGGCCTCGGACACCCCTCGACCCCGGGCGCCCCTGCAGCGCTGGCCGCAGCCGCTAGATGCCGCTGTGGCGCATGGCCAGCGCTCAGAGGCCCCCCGCGCACATAGGCGGTGCCAGAGGCGGGACGGACCACTGCGCGCGGGGGCGCCCGGCGGCGAAGGCGGCGCTGCGACTCCCGGTCCCGGCGGCCTGCGGCGCGGTTCCCCCTCGGCCCTGTGCGCGGTGGTGCAGCCCGACCGCAGCTCGCCGGTTCCGGCCAGGACGCCGGGCCCCCGCGCAACGGGCGCCGCAGTGCGCCGCGCTCACCGCAGCCGCGATGCTGTGGTTGCTGGTGGCGCCGCTGGCCCTGGCGCTGGCCTACTTCGCGCTGCTGGACGGCTGGTACCTGGTGCGCGTGCCGTGCGCCGTGCTGCGCGCGCGCCTGCTGCAGCCCCCTGTCCGCGACCTGCTGGCAGAGCAGCGCTTCTCCGGCCGCGTGCTGCCCTCCGACCTAGACCTGCTGATGCACATGAACAACGCGCGCTACCTGCGCGAGGCCGACGTGGCGCGCGCCGCGCACCTGACCCGCTGCGGAGTGCTCGGGGCGCTGCGCGCGCTCGGGGGGCGCGCCGTCCTGGCCGCCTCGTGCGCGCGCTACCGCCGCTCGCTGCGCCTGCTGGAGCCGTTCGAGGTGCGTACCCGCCTGCTGGGCTGGGATGACCGCGCCTTCTACCTGGAGGCGCGCTTCGTCAGCCTCCGGGACGGCTTCCTGTGCGCGCTGCTGCGTTCCCGCCAGCACGTGCTGGGCACCTCGCCCGATCGCGTGGTGCAGCACCTGTGCAAGCGCAAGGTGAGTCTCCCGCCTGGGTGCGCACCCCCTTGCCCCCATGCCCGGGGACATTCCCTCCTGCCCTTGGCTGCAGGCTCAGGTCCTCCTCTCTGTCCTTCCCTTCAGGGGTTCTTTGGGTACCCAGCCAGTTCTGCTAGTCCGCCTCGCAGCTCCCCCCGCACCCCTCGCCGCAGCTTCGGCTTCTCCCTCTGCCCTCCCGCCCTTCTAGGCGGGAGAGCCGCGAGGCCTCTGCGGCGGCGGGGAGGGCTTGCTGCTGCGGTGGGCTGCCACTGTTGCCGGCCCCGCCTCCTGAACCAAGAGGGTGAACGATTTCAAGGACCTGAGGCCGCCCTTTGTGGGGGGTTCTGGTGCTGCGCCCCAAACCCTGAGTTGGGTGAGGCTGGAGGTTGTAGCGGTCTGCCTTTCTGTGGTGGAGAGGACCCGCCTGGTGTGATGGCCAGCCTCCAGGGACCCGCTGATCCCAGCACCGCAGAGCTGGCCCCTGAAGCATGGCAACCAGGCCCTGGGGAGGCCGGGCGCCACCGCGGAGTGGTTGCCAAGACAGGCACATGTGCGGGTTCCCGTGAGCTCATGCTGGCAGCCAGGGCCCTCAGGACCGCAGACGGTTTCAAGCCCCGCCCTGCCCTCCCTGGTGTGGACAGTGTTACCTTAGAGGATGACCCAGTCTCTGTGTGGGGGCGGGGAGCACGGGGCTCAGAGGGGGTAGGACCTGCCCCAGGTAGCAGGGGGTTTGCAGGTGTTATCCCCAGTTTCTGTGTCTCTAACTCCAGGACCCCCTTAAAGGGCCCTGTCTTCCCCACCTGTGGGGGGAGATGTGAGGCCTGTGGCTCCCGTCACCGTGGCACTTTTTAGGGAGTATCTCCTTCCTAAGCAGTTGAGAGTGGAGGGGGCGTCAGTGGCCAGGGGAGCGTTCAGGGGCTGCACTCAGGGCCAAGGGCAGGACTTGTGTCGATGAGGGGGGACTGGCACACCTGGTAGTGTAGTGGCCTGAGGTCAGGAAGAATGCCATATACAGGAGGTTCCCCTGCCTGTGAGACTGGCTATAGGCTAGGAGGACCCCAGCCTCACTCGCCCCTCCCTCAACTCTCTGATGCCCAGGACAGGGTCTGCATCAACTGGGCAGTCACTGCTACAAGTCAGGGCCAAATCTGGTGGGGGGAGGGCAGGAGGGGGCAGTCAGTCACGTCTGGCACCTCTCAGCACACGTTTGGGGTGAGCCCTGAGGTCTGGTGGCTGGCCCCTCACTGCCTAGCTCTGTGCACCCCCTGGACCCCAGTCCCAGTCTCCAGCCCCCTCACCCCGCCCTCCTGCCAGTGCCAGGTCTTTGGGCGCCTGAGACTGAGGTGGGCCCTTGCGGGAGGAAGGGCTAGACTGAGGGGCTTCTTGAGGGGGACTGGGCAGGCCTCCTGGATGGGACAGCATCGGGAGGGTGTGGGGAGGATCCTGCTCCCCCCAGCAGCCTCTCCCCGTCTGACAGGTGGAACCCCCGGAGTTGCCAGAAGACCTGAAGCACTGGATCGCCTACAACGAGGCCAGCAGTCAGCTGCTCCGCGCAGAGAGTGGCCGCGGCCACCCCAAGGACCAGTGACAGCCACCTCCTCGCCAGCCCGCCCCGCGTAGCCAGGGCCTGTGCCCCAACGACCCCAGATGTCTGAGGACCCTCTGTGCCTGGCCCTACACTGGGCAGGGGTGAGGGTGGCACAGACACCCTGACTAGCTCAGCCTGGAGTAGAGATAATGGGTGCAGCAGGGGCCCAAAACTCTCAGGGAAGGACAGTGCCAGGGACAGCAGGAGCAGTGGCCCTGGGCTGGTAGGGGTGAGGCTACAGTAGCCAGCGTCCCACAGCCATGAGGGATGAGAGTGGTGGTGGAGGATGACAGGAGCAGTCCTGGGGGCCTGGTCAGGGCTCTTGACCTGACTCGGGGCAGTGAGGAACTCTTAGGGTCAGACAGCATTCCTGCCAGCCGAGGGGGGCCAAGCCCAGGATGGCATCTGTACCCGGAGGGCGCCCGGCTGGGGAGGTGGATGGAGTGGGTGGCCCCTAGCACAGGCTGCTCTGTGTGGCAGTGCTGGGGAAGCTCTGGCTGTGCAGTGAGACCCTGTTAGCTCGGCACTAGCTCCCCTCCCTGTCTACACTCACCCTTCACCTGCTGTCCACTGCTCTTCTGTCCCCAGGGTGGGAAGGGGTCTTCTGGACCCATCTGCGTGGCTCCCACACCCCTCCTGACAGCTGCTCTCAGCTATCCTGTGGTGACAACAGGATTTGGGGCTGCCCGCTCCTGCCTGTCCCCTCACCGATCGCAGGGGACGGGAGCTGGACAGAGCAATTCACGGGGCAGGGCAGTGAGGGCTGCAGAGGCAGGTCCCCAGCCTAGGGCGCTGCGCGATGCTCTCAGCTCCCAGGAGGGGTCCCCTGAGGTCACAGGCTACGGGGCCCAGGTGGGGTTGCTGCATGCTGTGCATATGTGGCTGCTCAGGGTCGTGCCCACCTGCCCCTCCCACCAGCCCCCGGACAGGCCAGAGCCTCTGGACGCCCCTCCGGGGACCGCGGAGCCCAAGCCGGAGCCACATTGTCGCCAGCGCCTGCTTCTGAGCTGTTTGCCTTATACTTGCCACACGGGAAAGCTGCAATCCTTGTTTATTTAAAGAAAGTGTGAGATTAAAGGACATGAACTTGCGTGTGCTGCGCAGCTTCAGGGCTGGGAGTCAGGCTAGCGGCGGGCAGAAGACGGGCGGTGGGCAGAGGACGGGCAGGAGCTGCCACCCCAGGCATCCAGCTCTGCCCTTTGGGGCCCTGATCTGGCCGCCCTGGTCAGCAGAGTCTCCAGCGGTTAAAGGGAGTGACTCTTCAGCCGCTCACGTTCTTCCTGGACCATGGAGGGGTCTTTGTCCTGAGGAGGCAGGCGTGGAGAGGGGAACCCCTCGTCATGAGGGACCCAGGAGTGGGGGTGTCAAGCTGGAGGAGAGCCACTGACCTCAGGAGCACCAGCCCAGTAGGGCCTGCGGCCTGAGGTCCCAGCCGTGAGAGGGTTCGGGGACCGCCCTCTGCTTCCTGGTCTGGCTGGCCCTCACCCTGGCTCCCCCCCCAGGCCCCTCCCCTCTACTGTTTTCTGAGCCTCTCCCTGCTCAGGTGGGGCCAGTGGGTCCCCAGTGGGCAGCCCGGCCTCCCTGCTGTCTCTGCTGGAAGTAGAGGTTGGGGGTTGGCTTGACTTCAAAGACTGGGAGTATATGGGGCAGGACCCCATCCTGTGATGTAGAGTGACTGACTGGGCTGGTGAGGGAGTTGCTGGTGGTGCAGTGTGGCTTAGCCCTGCAGGGCACCGCAGAGAGCTCAGTGGTTCACTCTGCCCTCTGCCCTGCATGAGGCTGCCAGTCAGGCCCTGGGCAGGCTCCTGGCGGCTCCGGCAGGGTGTGGCAGGCACAGCGGCAGGGGCCAGGTAGGTCCGCTTCAGGTGTTTGTGGGAGGCCCAGTCCTGAGTGAGCTCATGGGGTCCTGAGGTGGTGGCCACACTACCCTGCCTGCTGCTTCTCCTGACCCCCAGTGCCTGCCAGAGCCAGCAGGGTCCAGGGTCACGGGCTGGGGTGGCCTTGGAGCTTTGAAATCCAAGACTTCCCTGGACAGAGCTGGAAGGTGACCTGGAGCTTTCCTTTTTGTGTCCCAGGCCAGTGTCCTTTCAGGGGCTTTTAGCCCCTGACTGTTTGATGTACTGATGAAGCCGGTTGGGGGCCGTCATGGAAGAGGCAGGGGCTTTTGAGGCCAGGTCCTCTGAATCCCAAGGATGATTCCGGCAAACAGCCAGCCCTGTAGGCCAGACAGCTTGGGACTCCCACAGGTCCAGCCTGCCTCCAGCCAGACGTCCAGCACTGGGCTGGGTGCTCCAGGACACGAGCAGCATCCTAGCCCTGCCCAAGGAGGACATGATGGACTCTTGACAGAACAAAGACGAATCTTGGAGTGTGGGCCCCCAGATGGGGCCGAGCCAGACACCCACCTCAGAGGACACCCTGAGCTTCCTTCTGAGGCCATGTGGGTGGGGTGACACCCCAAGTCTGAGAGGAGACAGGAGGGAGAGATTCCTGCGGCTTTGGGATGGTGGCAGTTGGTTTGCTGAGGGGCAGACACGGGCACGCTTCTCACTGGTCTCAATCTCTGCATCTGTGAAATGGGCTCAGAAGGCCTGGGGAACAAGGGTAGAATGGATTCCACCTCGTTCCTTCTTTGAAGGTTCTCCCACCCTAGAGCCTACTGTCTAGAAATCTGGAGGGAGCAGGGCAGACAGAGCAGGCCCCCAAGGGCTGCTGTCCTCCCGCCCCACGTGTGGCCGCGTGCTGCCCCTGGTCACCTTTTCCGCATTGCAGAGGTCATGAAAGCAGCAGAAGACAGGGTTGAAGGCACCCAGGCTGTCAGGGTCAGTGGCCTCGCAGGAGCTGGCACAGGAGCCGGTCACCATGGCCTTCCCGTTGAAGGGGTACTCTGTGGGGACAACAGCGTCAGAGTCCCCGCGGGTGCTGCCTGCTGCCCTCCAACCGTCCCACCCAGCAGCTCCTGAGAGCTGTGGGCCCCACCCCTAAAAGCCCAGATGTGGGAGATGGCCCTGCACTGCCAGTGATATTGAACATCCCTGCTGCCAGAGAGGGGACAGGTGGAGTTGGGGTCCCCGACACACTGCCTCCCTCCCCCCAGGGCGGGACACGAGGAGGTGGGGGAGGGCAGGTGGAGATGAGGGGAGAGGGGCCCGGAGAAGCTGAGCCGGCCCCACCCGATGGCACGTTGACCATGGTGGTCTTGCAGGCCGTGTCCACTGGTTTGCAATAGGTGATCTTCCTGCAGGAGGAGATGATGGTGGGTTGTTGGCAGGAGTAGCACTTGAAGGCGGCACCTGGGGGACATGGCAGGGTGTCAGCACCTGGAACTGGGGGCCATTCTCTCCGGGCCCTCAGGCCTTCCTGCTCTGCTTGGCTGACAGCTGAATCCCTCCCCCTAAGTATGTTTGCCTTGCTTTCCCTCCAGAGGAGGGCCTTGACCGCAGACCTTGGAGGCAGGTGTCCCGGCATGGCATGTTGGGGAGGAGCCCAGCAGGGACTGCACCCCTTGAAGAGGTGGGGAGCAGGCCTGGCGACGGCTGTCCCACCCCAGACCCCCTTACCAAGCTGCATGCTGCAGGCAGCCAGGAGCAGAAGGGTGAGCACAGCCCAGCTCAAGGCCATCCTGGGAGGTGAGCAGCTGGGAGATGTGGCCAAGGACGATTTATACCCGGGCCCACAGGCTCTGCTGCTGGGCGGTGACCAGAACCGGCTGCCCCAGTCAGGAGGCGGGCTAGTGAGCCCATCAGCGCTCGTCACCCGTCAGCCCTTCCTCCCTGGCCCTGCAGCCACCGCTGTCCCTCTGCCTACACTGCCTGTTGCTGAGGGCGAGGGTGTGGGCACAGCTCTGGGACAGTCCCCTTCGTCCCCCTCTTAGCAAGGTCAGCTGCCCCTGGAGGTTCTGCCTGGAGGATGTCTGTCCTGCCTCCCAGCCTCTACCTCCAGCAGAATCAAAGTCCCTTTTCACATGGACAGTCCTGGAGTGCCCATAAGCCAGGTAAGCACGGGCTCACCTGTGTCACCATCCCCATAGCACTGTTACATGCAAATCACTAAGTGGGTAGTGAGCTGACCCCACCAGCCAAGCAGTCCACCCTTCTCCTCATGGCCAGACCCCTCCCCTGGACTCCTGTGGAGTCCTAGCTTTGCCCTTGAGGGCCACATAGCCAGGGTGACCCCATTCCTGGGGACCCTAACTGGAACCCCACTGGGTGCCTGCCTTGTATGTAGCCAGGACAGGTAGTGCGAAGGGGCCTTCCTGTCCCACACCCAGGGCTAGTTCTGCTTAATCTCAAATTTACCAAAGCCAACGTCAGTTTTCTTTACCGCATACTCTTACGGCATTGCTTTTCCCAATAGTAGATCCACAGAAACGGGTCAGGCTAGCTGCCTGGGGAAGATAGTGTCGGGGGCCACGAGGACCTCCCTTGGACTCTCAGACATGTGGCTGTGGACTGGGTCTTCACCGCATCCCCTTCTACTGACTGCCATGGACAGTCTTACTCAAAATCCTAATTCCTCTGGCTTCTCTCTGTCCTAAGGTTTTCATAGATGGCTGTGTGGATGGATGGGTGCAGAGAGGGAGGAATGGATAGACGGACGTGCGGATGGATGGATGGATGGATAAAAACGGTGAGTGGCTGAATGGATGTTTGAGAGAACAGATGAGAGCAATGAATGGGCGAGAGGATTCCTGGATGAACGAGTGGGTCGAGAGGTAGATGGGTGGGTGGCAAGTGGCAGGCTGAGCCTGGCTGTGAGAACGGTTTCATGGAGGGTTTGCTCAGGCTGGGAGAGCCACCTAATCTCAAAGGGATGGGATGCTGGCGAGTGCTGCTCTGGGCTTGGGCTTGGTTTTGCGGCTGACTCCATGTGTGACCCAGGGTGGCCCATTGTCTCTGCAGACTCCGGTTTCCAGTCGGCAGGAGGAGCACAGGGGCCCTGTCCTGGCAGTCATCTTCAGAGCCGTTGTAGGCTGGGATGAGCCGGCCTTGTGAGCTCAGGCAAGGTGCACGGGTCTTAGGTGACTGGGAGGAAGTGTGGGAAGGGCGTAGTGTGTGAAGGGACAGACTGCAGTCATGGTAAATCAAATAAATCAAACCATCGATGGCAGATGGGAGGAGCAGACCAGCTGGCAGCAGGGCGGGCCGGTCTCAGGCTCGGGCCACAGATTGCCCAGGATGTTGCGTGAGTCCCTGGGAAGGTGTGGCCCCAGAACCTGACCCCAGCCCTGCTGATTCCTGTGAGACCAGGGCCAGGGTGAGCCACCTTGTAAATGGGGCACAGGAGCAGCACCCCAAAAGCTGTGGCGACGAGCCAGAGAGGCCAGGCCAGTGCCAGGTAGCTAGTGAGTGGTCCACGAGGACAGTCCCCATTAGCTAGGGTTCCATCTGGACAGAGTGATGTGGATGGTGTAGCCCATACTGTATAGGAAATGCCAGCAGGTCCTTTCCGTGCTGAGGACAGGGAGACACCAGCATCTGGAGAGATGGTTGAGGCTGCCTGGAGGAAAAGAGAGCTTCAGAGTAGGACCAGAATGAAGACTGCACTGGAAGAATGAAATAGATGAATGAGCAGAGAGATAGATGTATGGATAGTTGGATGGGGGGTTTATAGAGGGATGGGACATAGATGGGTACGTGAGTGGATGTATGGATGATGGGAGACTGACGGATGGGTGAGTGTATGAATCTAGGTGTGAATGGCGGAAGGAAGGAAGAGTGAATGAATGGTTGGGTAGGTGGATGGGTTGATAATAGAACCAAGGATGGATGCCTGGTGAGTGGAGGGATGGATGGTAGAGGTGGAGGGGTAGATGCTAGGTGGGTGGGGGGTTGGATACATGGACTATGGATGGGTGAGGAGTGAATGAATGAGTGGATGATAGATGGAGAGACGTGGTGGGCTGTGTGGACAGATAAATGAGAGGATGGATGAGTGGATGGTTACTGGATAGATGGACGAGGGAGTTGATGGATTGACAGGCAGGTGAGATGTATGTGGATGATGGACACGTGGATGAGTGGACAGCCGAGTGACATAGATGAGCACACCCGTGAGGGGTGGGGTGGGTGATAGGTAGGTTCATGAATGAGTGGATGGTAGGCCTGTACTCAGATGCTGTCTGACTGGGCCTAGCAGGACAGGATTTGTGCTCCACTTAAGTAGTGACCCTCCTTCCCTCGGCTTTGTGAACACACCTGCCCCGTGGTCCTGAGTGTGGAACTGAGAAACTAGGGTTTGGGCACGGTCAAGAGTAGCGTAAGACGAGAGTAGTGGCTTTCTTCTCTAAACCTGATGTCCTCGTCTTCAAAGGGCCCAGGGTACCGCCGCCTCGGGGTGGGCATTCCACAGACTGGCCAGCACTGGACTCCACACACTAGAAGCTCCTGTGAAGCTGTGAGGATAGATGGATAGATGAGTGGATGGATGGATGGACACACAGGTGAATGGGTGAGATGGTATGGGAATACTAGATAGGTACGTGGATGGATGGATGTGTGTAAATTGGGGTGAGGACACTGGGCAGGTGAGTGAGGGCATGTGAGTAAAGGCTGGCAGGGTAGAGGATCTAGTGGGGACCCTCTCATTGTCCGTCCCTCTGGTCTTCCAGACCTGCCTGTCTCAACCAGGAGAAGGCAGGCCCTTGAAGGCTCCTTTCCCAGTCTAGCTGAGTTGCCAGACATGACTGTAACCTTTTTACCTGGCACCACAGCCTTCAGCTGCACTCACCCCATTTAGGCTTGACATTTTAAGTTCTTACCAAACCCCAGGCTTCTGCCAGGTCTAGCCTATCTCCATCAGGACCTGGCATCAGCTACCTCTCTTTCTGGCCCAATCCAACCCTGCCCTTGGCATTGAGTGCCTCCCCTGCCTGGCCTGCTGGACAACTCGACCATCAAGTGGAGAGACAAGTCAGAATTTTCCACCTGCAGCCCTGACAAAGCCATGATGATGTGTGTTTGCTGAACAATAAAATGATAGACAATAGATGGATGGGTGGGTGGATAAAGATGGGCGAGCCGGAGATGAATGGGTGGGTGTGCAGACGAGTTGAGTGGATGGATGGATGGATGAGTGGATGGATAATCGATGGGTAGATGGGTAGGTAAGTGGTTGAAAAAATTGGGGATGGATAGTTGGATGGGGAGGATGGCTGGCTGGGTGGGTGGGTGAATGGGTGGATAATCAACGGGTCAGTGGAGAGAGATGTGGTTGAAGGTGGATGGATGGAGGGAAGGACGGATGGATGGATGGATGGATGGATGGATGGATGGATGGATGGACAGACAGAAGGATGGGTGGATGGGAGATGTGTGGATGGATAATCGGCAGGTAGGTGGATAGGTGAAGATCAAGGCTGGAGGAAGCTGTTTCCCACAGACATGACTGCAGTGCAGCCTCGACTCCCAGGTCAGAGCCGCCTTCTCTAGCCTTTCTGACAGAGATACCAGCATAGACATGAACTTGCTTGTGATGGAGAGCTTATTCCGTTTAAGGCAAAATAGAGCCTACCCTCAGGTGCACATCTGTCTGTCAGATTTCCCTGGTGGACAGCTTCACGCCACCTCTCATTATGGGCAAGTCTTTTCCCTGATCTCCACCTGCAGAACCAGCCATACGCCATAGGTGAGCCTCCAATAGCTCAACAGGTTCCTCTGGGCTTCAGGGGCTGAAGGCTTTTACCTGGACATTTCTCAGTGCTTATTGAACAAGATCTGAGGGTGGAAGGAGGAGAGATGGCTGTCATAGGCGCCCAGGACGACAAGGCAGTGGTTGGGACAGAGGCAAGGAGAGACAAGTGACAGGCGGGAGGGAGAAGGGAACTCCCTAGTAAGCTTTTGGGATTTCTATTGATGAAACGTGAGCAGAAATGAGGGATGTGGGTCAAGATTCAGAAGACGTGTCATCAAAGCAGCAGCCTGCTCATGGGCCCCCTGCCCTTCTCCTCCAGGTCACTCCTCACTTCACATCTCCTAAAGCCCTCAGACCACCCTCCCTCCCTAGCACTCCACACCCCTGTGAATGATGGGGCCTCTGGCCCAGCACCATGAGTGAGAGGGTTTAAGGGGGGTCCATTTCAATCCCGAAGCCTCAGCTCCAGCCAGCTGTGGGATGCCATAGCTGAGGCTGGACCCAGATCCCTCCCCTCCGGGATGTGACACCAGAGGGCTGCATTCTGTCACCTGAAAGGCTGCTGTATTCAAGGGAGGAGGGCCACGGCTGATCCCTGGCTCTGTGGTGACCAGGGACTGTCGGCAACAAAGGCTGGTTGGGTTCCCAAGGGCATCGAGGTTGCAGGAATCCCTGGAATATCCAGTCTATATCACCTTCAGCTTGAGTGTTGCCCCTGCCTGGGAAAGGGATAGGTCTGCAGAGCCTGGGGGCCCAGCTGGAGAATGAGGGGGCAGAGGAGCCCTCAAACTAGATCCCTGTCACTTGCTGAGCTTGGGTCCCTGCCACACGCTGAGCCGAGGTCCCTGTCACTTGCTGAACCTTGACTCTGGTCACAGGCTGACCCTTGAGCCCAGCACTCCCCTTTTATCAGAGATGTGAGAAAAATCCAGTTGAGAGGGTCAGAGGAGATGTTGAGAATGGTTCCCCATTGGCAAAGGCTCAGAATCGGCTCAGATGGGAGTGCAGCCAGGAAGCTCCCCCCAGGAGGCTGCCCCAGGCAGCATTCCAGACCAATTGTGGTGGCCTACGCGGGGGGGGGGGGGGAGTAGGGGGGGCTCTGTCCTATGTGCCTGTGGTGGTGAGATCCCTGGGGTTTGGGGTGGACCTCAGAACTGCTCAGAATCTGGGGACTGTGGCCTCTGCAGGCCTTGCCCATGTCGTGGAGTTGGGGGCCGGGGTTGGTTGGCCTCCTAGGCTCCAGGCTCCCCCTCCCAGAACGAGGGGGAAGTCTGGAGCAGTACCCACCACAAGTCCCAAGGGAACACCTCAGGACAGACCCTCTTTCAAGTCTCAGCTACTGCCTGCCCCGACCTGGGAAGGGGGATGGCTGAGGGACAGCAAGCTGTCAGGAAGAGGGACCCTGGCGTGGGGCATTGCGGGGCTGAGGACCACCCAGCCACCTCCCACCTCAGAGTGAAAGGGGGAAGCTGGTGCCCTCTGGTACCCAGAGGGTCAGCCAAGGCAAGGGAGCCAGCTGGGATAGGACTGGGGGACCACCTGGGCAGAGGACAGAGCAGGTCCCTCCCCTTCTGGTCAGCTGTTGTCCCTCCCCTGTCCTCCCTGGCTGGAGTGGGGCCATGCTGGGTGGGAGGGCCGGGCCTGGCCATTTTCTGAACTTCGTGAGTGGAATCTGTGGAATGCATGCACATTTGTACAGTTGGAAGGAGGGCATCATACGTGTATGCATGTGGACACACGTAGCCGCACACACCCAGGCCCAAGGTGGTCAGTCCTCCCAGGGACGAGTGCCCTCGTGGGAAGCGTGGCCTGGGCAGATGGCCTGAGGACAGGACTCTGGCCCAGGGGCCCTCCTCTACAAGTGCTGATTCTACCCTTGAACCTGAGGAGCAGGCTGGAGGAGGCTGGGAGGGAGGGGTGTGTGTGAGCCTGCAGAAGGCAGGTGGGGAGCCTTCACCACTCGGGGGACAATGTGTCAGTGGCTCTCCTGCTCCCTGCAGGAGCACGCCCAGGTCCTGAGCCGCCACCGCTAGGGATGCCCTCTCCTCTGTTCATTGTTCAAAGCCTGCCCACACGCCACCTCCCCCAGGAGGTCCTCCAGGGCCCACCCTTCTGATGGCCTTGCCCTCTTCTCACCCCATGGCCTTGGGGGCCTGGAGGTGGAGGCCTGTCTTGGGGGGTATCTCAGGTGAGTGGCTCCTTGTTTGTGGGATGGAATTTCAGCCACATCACAGGTGCCAGCAGGGAAATAACATGTAGGGACACTGTCAGCAGAGGTAACCCGACGCGAGGTCCACACACGGGCGGCAGGCAGGGTGTCGGCAGAAAAAGAAGGACTCGTGCGGACATGCTTCTTTAAGACCACACTGGGCATGGGTGGGCTGGGCCGTGGGGCCACAAAGGCCTAGTGTCCAAGGTTCCAGAGAGGGATGAATGTCAGGATGAAGGCCAGGCCTCCAGCACCTCCGAGGGTGGGGGCACTGTCCACGTTACACAAGTCAGTGTTGCAGCAGGACACTGGTCGTGTCAGGCCAATGCTGTCCACATTGGAAGGCTGGCACTTACTGGCACAGGACTTGGTCATCGTGAAGTCCCCCAGGTATGGATACCCTGTGGGCGAGCAAGAAGGATCAGAAGTCAAGGGCCCAGTGCCCCAGAGTCATCTGGGCAGGGCCCACCGGGGGTCACTTTGGGCCTTAGTTCCCCTCGTTCGTCCCCCTTCCCCTCACACACAGGGGTAACTAACACCAGGGCCGACGGGGTGTCCAGTAAGGAGCCCCTTGCCCTATGGACCAGACTCCCGCCGGCACGTGGCTGGTAGATAGAGGCCTGCAGTGCAGTGTCCACCCAAGGAGGGCAGCAGGCTCTCCTAACCCTAGTGACCTCGCAGGACAGAGCAGGGCTGCCCACAGGGTCTCTCTCTTTCTTAGGGGCGTAGACTGCTGCCCCTCTCCGTCACTGTGACTGGTGGATTTCAACTGCTGACCTCTCTGTTACAGAGCACTTCCACAGAGGGAAGGAGGGGAGAAGGAGGGAGAAAGGTTTAACTGCTCTCAGGAATGTGTGTGCTGGCATGTGCCCGCCCACCTGGGGCTGCTCACAGGGTGGTGGCAGGTGTCCCTGGTGCCCACCCAGTGCACTGACCAGTCTCCAGGGAGTACTGCGTGGTCTTGCACATGGTCTCGTTGGCTGTGCAGGTGACCACGTCGAGGCAGCTGGACATGCTGGTGGGCTCGAAGCAGGAGTAACACTTCAGGGCGGTTGCTGGGGGTGGAAGGGGGAATCTCAGAAGACCTGTCCTGCCCCCCTGGAAAGTCCCCTAGGCAGCCTGGGGAGGGGGGAGGCTCAGATCTGGGGGGCCCAGTCACCCCTGGCCAAACCTCAGAGATATCTTGAGCTGGGAGTGGGTTCAGGGTGGGCTCAGCCGAGCCTGAGGCTGACGCTGGACCGGTCAGGTTTAGGCCAGGACGAGGCAGCAGTGGGATTGTTAGGGACCAGATTGTGGCCTCTCAGAATAACAGATGCTGAGGGGGAGATTGGACAGGTCATCCCCAGCATCCCCTTCGGCAAATTCCCGGCCCAGGGGCAGAGATTAAGGGATCTGAAAGAAAACTATGGATGGGGTGTGCCACATGCTGCTGTTGTGAACAGGGGGGGGGGACCTGCTGGTAGGTGCCGCGGGCGCGCTGAGGTGCTCCACGCAGCCCCCTACCCTTTGGAGGGAGCTCCCACTGGCCCAGACAGCTGAGTGGTCCAGGTGCCCACTCACCCTCACCCCAGGGATCTGTGTCTTCCCTTTGTGAAGGACAGAACCATCTATTCAGTCATTAGACGTTACAGGATGAGTGTGGGGCCTAATGAGCAGGCTGGGGGGCTGGGGTGGCTCCCCCATGTGTCCTTTCAGTCCCTAAGTCCACGCATGGGTCACCCCCCCCTCTCAGGCCAAGGCCTCCCTGATCTGCCCACGTCCCTTTGAGGCTCCCCTCCAACTGCCCCACACTTTTCTCCGGCCAGTGACCCTCAGAATCAGACCTTGATCACTTACGTTGAGACCCTGCCCTACTCCCAGGGAGGTGGCAGCCCACCCCCCTGGTCTGGCTGGACCTGCCCCTCCCCTGCTGCCATTTTGCCATTTCTCTGTTGTCCCCTCCCCAGCCCACCTGCACCTCCCTCCTGTCCTCAGCTCCCGCTGACCATCCCTTTTCTTTGTAGGGCCTTCCATCAGGGTCCTTGCTGGGGACTATGGAAGGGGAGCCCTCACCCGGCTCCCCGCAGGCCGCCACCACCAGTATCAGACACAGCAGCCGAGTCCCCTGCATCTCTTGCATGGTCCCTTGTCCGCTGTGAGCTCTGCTTGACTGCCTGCTGGGTGTAGCGGACACCAAGTGCCACCAGACCGGTCTGTGGACGGATTAGTGCAATCATGTTTCCAGGGGTGGAGGGGACCCCGCCCCACCTGAACACCTCCTTCCGGGCTGGTCAGGGAGGGGGGCCCTTCGCACAACCCTCCCTGGCCCCACCTAGCACATGCCCCTTCCTTGACCCTCCCGCCCAGCATTGTCCAGGGCCCCTCCCCATTCCGCTTGAGCCTCCTTCAGGAAGGTGCCTGCCCCCACTTTCCTGCCACGGTCTCCTTTGCCCCTTGCAGCCCTGCCTGGTGCTTCCTGCCCTGCCTTGCATGTGCCCCTCTGCTGTCCAGGTTCTCGGGCCCCAGCAGCACAGGTTAGCTGGCTCACCCACCCAGAGCACCCTGGTCCAGGGACCAGATTGCTTGGGGGTGGGGTCTCGCAGCACCTGAGGGTCTAAGGCTTGTGGACAGGACACGAGCCCACCCTCCCCAGTGGCCTGGACGTACCTGTGGTGAAGCTGTTCTCGCAGCTGCGTGTTTGCTCCGAGGCTTAACCGGACAGGACCCGGGGTGGCTGGGTCAACAGACATGGCTTAGGAAAGAGGGAATGCGGGGTCTCCTTGGCAGCTCTGCAGGGGTGTCACCTTCCTGTACAACCCACACAGTGTTCTCTCGTGAACTGCCTTCAGATGGGACTTATGGTGAGGAAGTGGACGGCTGTTCCTTGCCCAGCGCTGACCAGGAGAAGCTGGGGGTAAATCAGTCCCACTCAAAGTGGCCGCTGCTTCTGTGCCCTGTTCTCACAGCCTCTCGAGGTGTGACTCCCACCAGACCGCACACGTGTCAGTCCCATGCCTCTGTGCTAGGTGCCCGCACCTCCATACCAGGCCCTGCCATCTCTCCATTTCTTCCCTCCTCACAGCCCTACCCCAGCCTCCTCCCAAGGAAGGGGGTGCACCGCCTGGATCTGGTATTCATGGGGCTGGAGGGCTTGTAGGGGTGGGTGCACTCAGGGTCCACCAGTCCTCAGAACCTGCTGGAGGGATACCTTCCCGTTTGAGTTTGGGTGAAGAGGTCTGAGAAGCTGCTGTAAGCGCTCAGGACCAGGGCTCAGTGTGTGAGCAGGGTCAAGAATCAGTATATGACTGACATGAGGGCTTAGTGCTTGGCCAGGATGAGGAATCAATCAGCGTGTGATCAGAATCAGGGCTCAGTGTAGCCATGATCAGGCTCAGCAAGTGACTGGGACCAGAATCAGGCTGAGACTTTGAGCAAGGCTGTGATTCAGTGCGTCCAGGCAGAGCCAGTGCTCCGAGTGTGACCTGGTTCAGAGCTCAGCATGGGAGCAGGCTCAGGGGCTTTGTAGTGGCTCTGTCACATACCATCAAGTCACCCATGACTTACAGCAAACCTACGTACCATAGCTCTGAATCCTATTCTATCTTGAGTCAATCTCATTGTCTCCAATACACCTACTCTCATTACCCTATTTGCTGTGTCAATCCATCTCCTCCAGAGTCTTCCTCTCTTCCACTGTCCCTCCACCCTTTCAAGCATGATGTACTTCTTCAAGCACTGATCTCTCCTGGCCAGAAGCCCAAAGTATGTCAAAGGAAGCTTCAAAATCCTAGCCTCTAAGGAAAAACTTGGTTTCACCCTCTCCAAGGAAGACCTGTTTGTTCTCTTAGCAGTCCATGGTGTGTTTAATACTCTTCTCCAGTACCATATCTCAAGGGCATCAATTCTTCTATCACCTTTAGACATTGTCTCTGATGCTTAGGAAGCAATTGCAAAGACCATCCCCTGAATCAGGCACGCCTTAATCTCTAGACTGACATCATTGTTCTTCAGCACTGTGGAGAAGTCCTTGACTGCAGATTTTCCCAGTGCAGTTTATCTTTTGATTTCCTGACTGCTGGTGCTGAGAATGTTGATAATGGAGCCAAGCAAGCTGAAATTGTTAACAACCTCAGTCTCTTCTCCATCTTCATGATGCTGCCAAACAGCTCAGAGGTGAGAATCTCTGTCTTCCTGATGTTGCACTTCAATCCTTATTGAAGACTTTTGTCCTTGACCTTTTGTCAGCAAGCATTTCAAGTCCTACTCAGTTCCAGCAAGCAAGGTTGTATCATCTGTATAACATAGGCTGTTGATGAGTCTTCCTCCAATCCTGATGCCACATTCCTCCTAATAAAGCCCAGCCTCTTGAATGATCTGTTCTGCATAGAGATTGAAAAGGTATGGAGACAGGATGCTTCCCTGATGCACATCTTTCCTACACTTGAACCAGGTAGTATTTTCTTGCTCTGTTCTGAGAACTGCTTCCTAATCCAGGTAGTTTTGCCTGAGCACAATCAGGTGTTCTGGGATTCCCATTCTCCTCAAAGCTAGCCACAATTTTTTGTGACCCACACAGTCAAATGCCTTTACATAGTCAATGAAACACAGCTAGACATTCTTCTACTCTCTGCTTTCAGCCTAGATCCATCTGACATTGGCAATGATGTCCCTAGTGTGATGGCCTCTTCTAAACCCAGCTTGTACGTCTGGTAATTTTCTGCTGACGTGCTGTTCCAGTCATTTTTTTATAATCTTCAGCAGGATTTTGCTTGTGAGTGATACTGTTCTATAATTTCTGTACTCTGTGAGTCACCTTTTTTGGGAAATGGGACAAATATGGGTCTCTTCCAGTCAGTTGGTCAGGTTGTCCTCCAGATTTCTTGGCACAGCCTGGTGAGCACGTCCAGGGCAGCATCTGTTTGTTGGATATGTCAGTTGGTATTCCATCAATCCCTGGGGCCTTGTTTTTTGCCACTTCCTTCAGAGCAGCTTGAACTTCCTCCTTCATCACCATTGTCTCTTGATCACGTGTTGTTTCATGAAATTCTTCTGTGTCGGCCAATTATTTGTGGCACAGTGACCCTGTATACTCTTCTATCTTCTTGTGATGCTCCCTGGGTATTCAGTATTCTGCCCACAGCATCCTTAAGTATTGCAATTTGAGTCTCGACTTTATTCTTTCAGTTTCTCTTGGTTTTATGACTCCAGTTCTTTGCACAATTCATTATGATATTTCATGTTGTCTTTTTGAGCTGCCCTTTGAAATCTCTGTCCAGCTCCTTCATTTCCTGCTATTTTCCCTTTGCTTTGGCTTCTTGGTGCTCTAGTGCAATATTCAGAGTCTCTTCTGACATCTATCTCAGTCTTGTCTTCCTCTTTTGTGTTTGTAATGACTTTTTTTTTTGTGTGTGTGTGTGAGAGAGAGAGAGAGAGAGAGAGAGAGAGACTGAGAGCGAGGCAC